ATAGTACATTTACCTATCCCATATACATTTATCGCCATCTGGTTATTCTCGCTGGGGATTATCACGAGACTTAAATGGGGACGAAACTTAAATCAACCCTGAAGGAAATACCTTTTGGGAAGCAAAGCTATGTGAAATTCACTTAAAGCGTAAGGCCTACTCATATCATTTTGGGAAAATTGAACAACCAGTCTCCTTATCACCTTAAATGAAATAGGATGAATACACCGCATATTCATCTAACTCATATAAGATTCTCTCTATTGCTCTGAAAGATCCACCTCTTATCTCCCTGATGCAGTGCTTTAGGACGATATTTGCCACCATATTTATCCTACTCAGAGCATTATTTCCCATGCTCTGCCTCAAGTGTTTGATTGCATCTATATTCTAGCCTACCAAGCAGCTATTCAAAAATGTGGATTCTCAAGCTAGATCAAAACTAATTTAATATTGTAGTTTCCCGTAGCTAATTTTAGCTTATGTCAGGTAAATCTAGTGTTAAAGCCTTCACGTCGAGAACTGCGTGAATGATCAAACTTGTGTACTGTAAGCTAACTGTCTCTGGTCTCTGCCGCTTCCCTCCTTGTGTACAAAATGGCCTCGCAATAATATCTATAATTCCTAGTCTAAACTTTATTATTGTCTAATCAATCGTGTTCCAGCCCTCTAAATGCTTTAGCTATTTAATTGGCTCGACTGTGCTTACTTTCTTGCGACTTCAATTCTTCATGTTTAGCAAACTTTCCTGGTCAATAAATCTTTTTTTTGCTGAGCTTGATGCTCACTCATCTTATCCAAATTTGCATCGGGACTAGGTAAATTTCACAAGGTCTACCTTACGCTCCGACCAGGTTGCGAAAATGAAGTTTAACCAATCCTACAAGGATAAAAATAACTGTGACTAAATATCAGCCTTCCTATCTACGATCTAAGAATGTAAGGCATTAATTTTATTCAGAGGCATAATGGATAAAAATGAATGCTGAGAGGAGATAATTAAAGTTAAACTACATAAAAAACCTATAGGAATGTGATATTCAAAATATAGTCATTTTCAATTACGTGCTTTTCCCAAGTGTTTGTTCAAACCATGTCCACCCGTTGAATACATATCTGCTAGTCTACCGTAGAGCCTATATATAGGCCAATCAACTAAAACATCTTGGTTCACGCCCATTCCGATACCAGTATCAAGACCATGGGAATTGGAATCATCAGTTGAGGTTGGATCACTTGTGGAGTCCAAAAGCTCGACGGCACCACGTTGGGCTTCCAATACTAAATTATACCAAAAAGCAGCCGTCTGCCAGTCGGGCCGAGATTCGGAAGATGCGGAAGAGGCTTACATAAAATGTGATGCATGCAATGAAAAAATGAATTTCAATCGGTGAGATAATAGGACATCTGATTTGAATAAGTTTCGAAGAGAAGCCATGGCGAAGAGCTAAGATCTATTTTTTGGGCTATTGAGATGCGAAGGAAGTCTATTCCGCATCATCTGCACGCATACTTACTCATAAAGTTCACGACGCTGCTAAATAATCATAAATACTTTATCAGATTATAATCATTGAGAAGTAAGCTTTTGGCTCTAAAACAAAATATTATTTTATATAAGATTTCTTCTCTAAATAATGAGCTTCAAGCAAAAAATACTCGTTTCATAATGGTTTTTCAGCGGCTTATTTATCTATCTCGTAAATTAAAACTTTAGAACAGTCCTACTATTTAGTCGCTATAGGTCGCTTTAGGTGATTTGGGGACTAATAAATGAGTTTTTTCCCACAATGAGGTGAACAGGTCTATCCCACCCAGAGTGATCACAAGTCAATGTCGATTGGAGTGGTAATCTCATGCCCAAATGATGAAACTATCAGGCAGATCAAATGTAATCAGAGAATATAGTATAGTAAAATAAAGTTATAAAAAATCACCTCACAACTTTTAAATCATAAATATAGCCTCATAAGGGATCTGCTGAAACTTACTCTCTAAAGGTTTGGAGTAAAATAACTTAGAAAAAATATTGAGTAAATAAAAAATAAATATCATTAAATAGAAAAATAGGGCGAATTCTCTACCAGTGTTGGTTCAATCTCGTTTTGGCAATTTGGTCGCAGCGTCAGGGATATCCTGTACCTAGTCATGTGTCCTCTTCCATAGTATTCGTGATTTCCAGTTTGGTACATTCTTAAACGTATCGCCGTCATAGTCAGTGAGATGTGCCATCGTTAGTATAGTATTACAACTTATAAAAGTGACAAGTGAAGGCAATCCTCTTAACCAATTTTCTGTTAAAACGTTGTAGCATCACTCTTCACACTTATTTTTTGCTCTACCTTCTAATTGTACATCCATGCCTCACATGTCCACTTTATATGGCTCTTCTACCTATTCACACAATTCTGTGCTCTGCCTCGTTGACCCGTTTCTTATCTTTCTGTCTGACCGATTTCACTTGGTTTCAGCCCCAGTGTACTTGCCCTCGAGGTGCTATATATCAAGCCTTTACGCACGTACAATGTCGCCTCATCTGCAGAGCTTTGATTCCCATGCTTGTGAATGTTAGGCATTGCCTTCATGAATCATCTCCTTGATTAAACCCGTGTACCCTAAGCAAACCGTCGATATCTATCACTGGTCGCCTGCTGCATCTCGAGCTGACTACACTCACTGACAATATATTCGCTTTATTCCCGAAACTTAATCACAATCTTCTTCCTGGCGACCCCTTTTCCTTTGGTTTATGATGAATCTTTGATCCAGGGGTCTTCTTCTTACTTATCTTGTTACATCCTTATTTTCTCCGAGTTTGATTAAGCAATAGGCAAAGTTATCACTAACTTGGCCTTCTTCCAACCTCCTGTTCATTAATTTTTTTCCCTAAGGATGTCACTGGCTTCAATAATCTTCCGTTTCTTTGTTCTTCCATCGTATGAGGCCCTTCTTTCTGTTGCTTTCCAATTAATCTCCTGCCCAGTCTCTGCTATGTGTTCAACTATGTCAGATCTTTCAGTATCCATTTTCCTGTAGAGCCTTTAATGTTCCTTGATTCGTATACTGATTTTTCTCCCAGTTACGTCAATATATTTCTGATCGCCGGCGCCGTATGATATGCAGTTACTCGCGAGCAATGTAGTTTGTTGGTTTGGTGCTAAGAATGGCAAGGCTCATTGA